AAAGCATTGAAAATATGATAAAAATAAGTGTGTGGCTACACTACATGGACTGAAATGTGATTTCTAATGATGCCAAATCATGAGAATAGTCAAAACAATGCATGCTAGCAACTTGGTGCACAAAGCTTAATAAGCTAGGATGAACTGAGGCTATACAAAGCAATGCATATATGGTCAAATCAACACCAAACAGAGCTTAAACATGGTGAAACATGACTAAAAGTTCCTTGGAGTTGAGCCGAAATATGCAAGCATGATGGTCCAAACTCAAGATACATGTTAAGGCAATAGAAGGGATTACAAGGTAAGTATATGGTGCATGCAAGAGATCAACAAACCAACTTAAAAAATAGGTATATCATGCCAAGATAACACCAAATACTTGCTAAAATGGGGCCAAAACATGCTAAGCAAACATGCTACTTTAGTGAGCCAACAATGCAAGCAAATGAGACACAAAGGGAGGGGGGTGTCCCTCCCCTATTCAAGACTTCAAAACCACTTCTCCACCACTGAAAATCCTTTGGATTTCAGTGGTGAGAAGGTTAAAACAAAAAGTTTTCAAAGCTCAAAAAGAAGATCACAAAATAAGGCCAAACAAGGCCTAAGAGGGGGTAGACAACCCCCGACCCAAAAGTAACCTTAAACAAACATATTTAGCATACAAAAACAGAATTTTTTTCAGTTGGACACTAAGCTTAAAACAGTATGCAAGTATTGCTAAAAGCTTAAGGAAAAATGGGGAATAAAAGAGTAGTTTCTCACCTTTGAAGAACACTTCAAGAACACCAACTCCAGCACCTCCTTTTGATCAAACCCAACTCAAAAACTCTGAAATCAACTCTTTAGCACCTCAGTAACTAAGGGATAGTGTACCACTAGGTGCTTGAGTGCAAAAATATGAACAAAAACACCCTTTAGAACACTATTACACACACAACTATAGAGAGAGAGGAGATATAAAGAGAGAGTGATATATATCTTCTATATCAGTTAGCTGAACCTCTGGAAAGGGAGGGGAGGCTCTCCTCTTACAGGAAGTCTAATTCAAAGCTTCCAAGAGAAGCTAAGTGTTGGTTCAAATCTCTCCATACACGTGTATGGAGGGCAGAGTCTGTGCTTACCAGCTGGCACAGCTGGCATGCACAATGCCTGAAAAAGGCAAAGAAAAGGCCTCGGCCAGAAAAAATGGCCGATCGACCAAAACAATGGCCGACCGACCAACTAAAGTGCCGATCAGCCAACACTCTTAGCCGATAGCAAGAAAACAAGGCCGATGGCCTCAGGCCATGGCCAGTGGGTTAAGGGGATGGCCAACAAGCCACTTCCTACCCTCAGGTGCAAAAACCATAAGTCCTTGGTCCACAACCAAGCACAAAACAGTCAAGTTGAGAGATCCTAAGGCAAGGCGCGCAACCGAGACCTTCGGGAACTCAAAACGAACACTAGCATGGATGATCATCGAGTGTTCAAACGATGACGTCCAAGTCTTAAGGACGGTCAAAAATGAGGTGTCTACAGTTATATGCTTTCTCAATTAAACTCGCGGAGCCCTCGGGCATGCATTCTCCTACCATAGCCACCACAACGGGTTTGGGCTGGGATATGGACGTGCTCATCATGCACAAGTCTATGCTTTTTGGGATGAACAGCACCGGCTTAGGCAAGTGGGAGGGAGTGATGTATATGCTGGGGTCGTATGGAACAGCCATTGTTTGGATGAGGTTCACTTGCCTAGGTAGATGAGCGGGTTGATTATGTGGTGGAAGGGGATTTGTAGTAACGTTTGGCTTCTCAAAAGGTGCTATTACTTTGTTGTCGATAAGATCTTGAATCTCATGACGGAGTCTGAAGCATTGGTCGGTGTCATGACCATGCTGCTAATGGAATGCGCAATACTTGGCCGGGTTGTGTGTAGGAGAGAGGGGATTTGGCAATAGTCGTGGTTCTAGAGGCTTCAGATGCCCTTTTCTAATCAGGACCCCCAAGGCCTTGGATAGAGACATATAAAGTAGGGTGAAAGTCCTCTGGCCTCTGGGTGGGTACTTTACGGGTTGTGGGGTGGCTCCAGATGTGCCGGTAAAGGGTGTGGCTGTCTTTGGTGTGGTAGTGACCATACCGACGTCAGAAGTCCTTGTGGCTGCATTACTACTCGTAGCTGCATTCAAACCGCATATAAACGCCCTCTTGGGCTGCTCCTTTTCCTGGTCAATCAGACCTTGCTTCAAAACATCTTCTATCTATACCTCAATCTCATGCAGGTCAATAAAGGTAGGGAGGGGTAAGACAATCATCCTCTGCATCAGCTTGGGTTGCAGGTTGCGAACAATCATTCTTATCTGATCCTTTTCGGCTAGCCGAGTTGTCATCATGGAGGCCTTAGCCCTCCATCGCGTGACAAAGTCAGAGAAGCCCTCCTTTGGCTCCTGCCGAGTCGCCTCAAGATCATGAGTCGTGACCTCGATTTGTGTATTGTAAGAATATTGGGCGACAAAGGCCTCGGCCATCTCTTCCCAACTCCTTTTCACTAAGTCCTCCAGTTTAGCATACCAGATAGCCGCAATACCCGACAGGGTCCGGCCAAAAAGGGATAGCTTTTGTAATCTAGTCAGGCCCATCGGCCGCAGAATATCCGAAAATAACCTCAAATGGACCATAGGATCACCCGAACCATCAAAGCGGTCTATGTGAGGCATTTTAAATCTGTCGGTCAATGTCACTGCCGAATCTGTGTAGTCATCCTCTATGTCCGGGATCGAGTTAACTCCCTGAGCTCGTTTAAATAACTTCTCGAGCTTACTTACTTTCAGAACGGTTAGATCAACCTCAAATTCGAACGGTGTATCCGTTGGGTAGGCTGGCGCTTTGGAAGTCTGAGGTGGGACTGGCCCTATTAGAATGTCCGTATTCTCCTGGACATTAGCTGTATCCCCGGGTGTTGGAACCCTAGGTAGGGGTGGGTGCGAAGCAAAAGCTCCGGCTTGTTGTGGTTGCTGCTGTTGTTGAAGCTTAGTAATTAGCTCAGCCTGCTGGGCTACAACCTCTGCTTGGTGAGCAGTAACCTCCGCTTGGCGAGCAGCGTCCTGCTGCATGGCCTCAATAATTTGTTGGAGTTGACGCATCATATCCTCCATACTGTCTGAGGGGTACTGATCTGTCTGAACAGGTGTATACTCTGTTTCTGATGTGAAAGCAGAAAACTAGGCTCGACTGCACATAGGCGAAACAGATAATGATCGCTGAACTGGCGACAGTTGTACTGGTGATCTATGCCTAGCTGACCTCCGTCTTGTAACCGGGCGTAATGCAGCAAGCACTAGTTGTCCTCCGATAAGATCCTCAGATCGGTAAATCCTCCTGACTCTGGTCTAGAGTGCTCGAAGGGTATCTGCCTCGTCGGAAGCAATTGTGTATTACTACCTTGCAAAAAGAAAAATAAAGCAAAGAAAAAGAAACATCAATCAGCAAACGCACAGCACCTCGGCTTAGATAAAGACAACACACAGTTGAAATCATAAGCTGGACAATCTGTACTCAAACACTGATTTCTGCCCCCAAATTTTTTGTCTCAAAATTAATACATACTCAAACACTGATGTCCTCAGACTGATACCCAGACTTGCAACTGATACATACATTCTTGTAGAGACACACCCTAACAACATATATCAAGCAAGTGAGAGCCAAAACACCCCTATGGTGGGGTACGGTTTCCATGTCCTATTTTTGTCAGGAGCTAGGGTTTCACTACGCACGCATGTGGTTTCAAACAATCCTGTATTCGAGTGAGCAACATGTCCTAGTTTGGAACAGTCTCTATGGCTTCTGATATGCAACTAGGTCAATTGATCGAAAAGGGTGCTTTAGCAAGACTACCTAATATACCTCTCGCTCCTAATACCGAGAAGTGAAAGGAGGATCAAATGGTACAGCGGTAGTCCAGATCCAAGGTTTGTGTTTCCATCGTGGCAGAGTCCGCAATCGGTCAACCTTATGGCATGCTTTTCTAAGAAAGCCTCCGGCAAACTGCTCAGGAATAGTAGATGGCAAACACTGTGACTTAGGAGCACCTATGCAAATGCAATGCAAAGAAACACATAAATGTGGATAAAACAACATATCATGAGTTCAAGTCAAGTTCTCTAAATCCCCAGTAGAGTCGCCAGAAACTATGGTCTCGAATTTCTTCGTGCCCCCTTTCGAGAGCTCGAATTGGTCGTCTTACAATTCAGACTCCTGTCACGGTTCTGAATCTAATATCACGAAGTGCAACGCGAGACTGATAAACACCAAAGAGTCCAAATCTGGCAATTGGTTTTGGAAAATTGATTTTGAATCAAAAAGCGCCAAACATGGACTGCTTTGTTAGATTATAGAGTCGCCACCTAAATATTTTTTTTTTGGAAAATTTAGGAAACCTTGACTCATGCCAAAAGCCACGTGTCCGTCATCACCAAAGTTGCCTCGACTCGGGAACTTGGGTACGAGAGGGGAAGGTCCTGATATGAGCACCCCCGCTCGCCCAATCAAAGGATCGGTCTCTACTAAGCATTATAAACCTCATGTGTTCTTGTTCTGGTTATTAAACTAGCTTTACTATGTGACACACACACAAGTATAGACCAAGGTTGTTAAGATCGGGATCCTACATAGGATCGTTTTGGGGGTCTAGAGGATCGGATCGTAGGATCAGATCGGGAATCGTAAGATCCTACTAAAACGATGAAAAAATGCAATAATTCTTATATGTCTAACTAATACTATCAAAATACATATAAAATGACCCAAAAAAACTTGAGAATGTAGCTCAAATGGTAGAGCTCTCATACTTATGAGCAAATCGAGGTTCAAATCCTCGCATTCTCACTTGTGTGCCTTGTTCACTAACAATAATCAATTCAAATATACATTTTGCACATTTTTTTAAACAAAGAAAACATAATAAAAGAAGGTGGCAATTCAAGTTGTCATTCAAACATTTTCCTAAAATCTTAACAAAAGAACATACTAAAAGAAATAGCAATTCAACTTCAAGTCTTCAAGTTAACACTTGCACAACATTGATATCCTTAACAAAACAAACTAAAATAAGAGAAGAATAAATAAACAAGAGACTAAAATAAGTCTTCATCTTCATCGCCGAAATCATCATTGCCACAATCAACAACATTGTTGATCTCATTGTCTCCCTTATCTTCATCATCACCCACAGTGTCACCCAACTCCTCAATGTCATCATCACCAATAGTAGCATCAACAAAGTCATAATCAAAATCCTTTGGAGCATTCATGTTGTCATCCATGTCATCATCATCACTTACTTCATGAATTTCATCGACATTTTCTCCAATATGGTCACGGACTAAGTTAGAAAAAAAAAAATCCAAATTAAATCCAAATTGCAACTTCTAATTAAAACTAAAAGATGTATCATGTACCTAGACTTACATGCTTGTTCCAAATCCCTTGCAAGAGCATCTACCTCCTCATCTTCTGAATGACATCCATGTCGAGCATTCCTATCAAGCACACTCAACCAATTTCCTTCTCTTGGAAGAGTCGGCTTCTCTCTCTCTGTTATCCACTCATCGTCTGATGGAACATCGTCCAAACATAATGGATTCATGATTGCTTGTCTATTCTTGCGCCTTTGTCTCAGTTTCAAATTGTACATGACAAAAACCAAGTCATTCATTCTCTTTTGGTGTAAACGATTCCTCCGCTTTGAGTGTACCATCTCAAAAGCACTCCAATTGCGCTCACACCCCGATAAACTGCATGTTAGACTTAATACCCTAATTGCGAACCTCTTCAACTCAGGACATTCATCACGAAAAGAGTCCCACCAATCCCCTACATTGAAATTTTAATTAAGTAGTTCAAAATTTAAAGTTCTTCAAAACAAATAATCATAACATAAGATTGATACAACTTACAAATCAACTTAGGGTAAAAATAAATAACTTGGAGATTTCTTTTTTCTAGTCAAGATGGCATTTTGTATACCAAAGAGTCCTCTTGCATTCTTGAATGCATCAATTTGCAAATCTATCTTCACCCTCTCATTAGTGTCAGGGACCATTTTTTCAAGACATTTATACAACCCAATTTTAATCTCTGCATCAGCTTGAAAATTGGGACTATAATGAAACTGAGGGTTCAAGAAGTATGCTGCAGCATGCAATGGGTGATGGAGTTGGGTTTCCCATCTTTTATCAATGATGGCCCATATAGGATCATAGCTGACACAATTTAATAAATATTATTGATGAATAAATAAAAAGTTTAGGGAAATAGTATTAAAGAGTAAATAAATAACCAACACTAAATAAAAAGTTTACCATCTTAGGACATTATTGAAATTCTTTTGAATTTCCTCTTTCGCACGATCCATTGCTTCATAAATGAATCCCATTGCCGGATGCTCATCCGAATCCACCAACCTAAGTACCTTAATGAGAGGTACTGCAGCCTTCAAGCAGGTAGAAACACCCTTCCAAAAATATCGATTGTCCAAAACAATAGTTTCAATTTTTTCCCCTTTTCAGACTTCGCAAATCTACTATTCCTCCACTTGTTTGATGTAAATAGAGAGAACAATGCACCTTTTTGCTCATGAAGACGTCTCAATGTCAAGTAAGAGGTAGCAAACCGAGTTACCGCAGGCCTTATAAGTTCAATGTCTTTTGTAAACTCCTTCATCCAATGAATAAGATTGGTTCTTGAATAAATGTATGCCACAATCTTTTTTCCTTTACCAATTGTAACACGATGAACTTGTATTTCCTTCTTAAAATCTTCTAACATCAAATCTATGCAATCGGCGGCACAAGGAGTCCAAAACAAGCCCTTTCTCTTATCCATTAACATTTGTCCCGCCAATTTATAATTAGAAACATTGTCAGTTACAACTTGCACAACATTTTCTTCTCCAACCTTCTCAACAACCTCATCTAACATCTCAAAAATGTTTTCACCTGTTTTTGAAATGTCGGATGTATCTAGTGATGACAAGAAAATAGTTCCATTAGAGCTATTCACAAGAAAATTACATATGGATCTTCTCTTTCTATCTGACCATCCATCCGACATAATTGTACATCCGATCTTATTCCATTGTTCCTTAAACTCATCAACCAATTGTAGTATCTCATGCACTTCTTTTTTAAAAAATTTCACCCTAATTTCATGGTAAGATGGTGGCACAAGTCCTTTTCCATAATCCCCAATCTTCTTAACCATGAGTGGAAATATAGGGTTGTTGACACAATTAAAAGGAATTGCACTACTGTAAAAAAAAACGAGCTATGGTTTGACAAACATCATCTCTCTCTTCTTTCTTAAACATTTGATTGAGAGTTTTTTGATTTTGACGTCCAGATTTCTTCATCATAAATTTATCCATGGCACCCACTCGTTTTTGTTTGTTTTGATGATGACATGATAATAGTTCCACCTCCTCTTCAGAATCATCACCAACATCAAACATCTTTCTCTTTTTATTTTGAGACTCTAATGTTTGAGTTCTTAAAAGACTCATGAACTTTCCTCTAACATCTTCTGGGACTTGAGGACATGGCTCAACATTTTGATGAGTACAAGCTAAATGATGTTTTAATCTAAATATACCTCCCGATCGAGTCACGTTACAATACTTGCATTGTACCTTTTTGGTTGCAGCATCTATTTCAATCCCATGTTCCCAACCAGGATCCGTTTGGCTACCCGCAACATTTTTCCTCTTCCTCCCTCTTCCAAAACCAGAGACAAACATTGTTAACTCAATTCACAAACCTACAATCATATATTGAATATCACCGAATCAATTGACTACAATTTACAATTTGATAGTTGTGAAATATCAGAGAGAAAAAAGTCAAGTTATTGTCAAAAATAAATTGATTACAATAGTAATACCATGATGCCCTACAAAGGCCTCATTGAAATTATAGATAAGGATAAATTAGAATTTAGAAGTTAATTTACAAATGAAAGACTACATAATCATAAGCAACTTTAGCTTATGTTAATAAAAAGACAGAGCAAACATTGAATCAACTGTTACCAACATGAACACTAGGTAATCTAAAGTCATGTTACAATTTACAAATTAATTGAGAACAAACCTGTATGAAGCTGCACTTTTCCTTGGTGGTAGGTATCTGCAAAAATAAATTACAAGTTCAAAATTAGGTTGACAGGAAAATGGAAAAATTGAAGAAAGGGAAAAATGGAAGAAGAAGGGGAAAGGGGGGAAAAACAAAAGGGGAATGAAAGACAGAAAAATGGAAGAAGAGGGGGAAAAATGCAGTAGCAGAGGCAAAAGAAGATGGAGGAGAAGAAGAAAAGGAGTCGAAGAAGACGAACAGAGGAGAAAAAGGAGTCGAACAGAGGAGAAGAGAAGGAGTCGAAGCACAGAGAAGAATGAGTCGAACAAAGAACAAGAAGAAGAAGAAGAAGAGAAGACGAAGAAGAAGAAGCATACCTGGAATCTAGATGGAGGCTGGATGGAGGCTACTCAGCTCTCGTGACCAACTTTCCCCCAATATTTTGCCCTAATCTTATGTCGTGGGTGTTTGGAAAAGAGAGAAGGTGCATCAAACCTGTAATAAAAACATCAGAAAAATGCCAAAAGTAGGATCGTATAGGATCGCAATCCAAATACAATCCTACGATCCCACTTCCGATCCTACCGATCCTGCTACGATCCTAAACAAAATACGATTCATCATGCGATCCAGATCGATTCTCCAAAAATGGATTGTAGGATCGTACGATCCTACGATCCGGATCGCGATCTTAACAACCTTGGTATAGACTAAAATCGCAAGAAGTGGAACAAAACAATTCATGTTTATTTTCGAAAATGGTTTGAAAGTGCTACCCTCAAGTGGGCTAAAGTGCGGATTTGCCACCAAACATGATGGGCTTAAAACATGATTTGCCACTTCGCAAAGTGGGCTTAAAACACACATTTATTGAATTGTTCCAATTCAAGCAACAAAGCCTTCATCCACAAGCATTCATGCAGTTAATCATTTAAGCACATAGCCTCATGGTAAGCATGCGAAATATGGCATCACTCACACTCATGCAAACATACTAAAGCGTAAAACTTGCAGTGTACTCCGAGCCAAAATAAAAGCTAGTTAGAAATATGCATGATCCTAACTGTATAAGATGCCTAATGCAACACATACGATAATCAACTAAATAGGCTCGGCTATCAAAGATGGCATATAAATGCAACAATTTGATAGCATGCTTTGAAACACGTATTCAAATAGATATTGAAATTATGATGCAGTTTGAATGATGCACCGAGCCTCGGTGCATGCAAGACAAATGAATGATGCAAACATGCAAGCATAAGGTATGCTAATCAAAACGTGCCCTAATCTAACCATCGAAAGCAGTTAAATAAAAAGGAGAAACACGTGGGGTTGGAAGACAAGCACACACACACGCATGCTTATTACAACATTGCGCCCTCTCGAAAGAGGGTCCGAATAAATAAGCTAAACTAAGCTAAGCTAAGCTAAGCTAATCTAATTAAACTAATTAGACTAATTATTACACAACAAAATAAAGAAATAGCTAAGCTAAGCTACTTAATTATTACAGCACTTAACTAATTAGCAAACTAGTAAATTAAATTACAAAACCAATGTACACTAACTATGCAAAACAAATGTTAACACTACACTGCTTCAGCTTTACCTCGGGAAGCAGAGGATGTATGCATTTTGTTTTTGCCCAGAAAAGCCCTTTTGTTTGATCTCAAGAACACACTGATGGCCGATCGGCCATGGTTGGTGATCATCGGCCAACACTTGTGACCGGTCGGCAGATTTGATGACCGGTCAGCTAGTATTGGTGGCAGGTCGGCCACCGCTTCTCTGCATTTCCTCCTTTTGCTGCAACAGAGAGCAAACAGAGGCATGACAATGTATTTGCAAGGAAATGTGTGTACTGCCACCCTCCTTATCATTTCTCAAGCTCAAAGGAGTGTGGCAATTGGCTCTCAAGCTACCAACCAAGCATTTTTGATGCATGGTAGCCAAAGTTTCAAGCTTGTACAAGCTTAGTGAATGCACACAAAAGACTCAAAGTGCCTCTCCCCTATCATGCATGATCAAGGGGGATAGCGACCAAGAAATGCAACACGTTTCATCACTTTGAGTATGAAAACGTCTCGTATTTCTTGTATTTGGATTAACGTCCGATCCAAACACATGCAATGCAACATGAATACTTATCTTGCACATGTTTTACTTGGTTCGTCCAAGTTTTACTTGATTCATTTTGTTTACACATTTTAAATTACCGATTAATCCTTTAACCGATTAAGTCCAATGTGAAAGTCCTCTAATGCAAGAGGGGTCAACCAAATGATGGTTTAAGACATGAGAGAGCTCATACCTTTGGCTAGGAGGAACCCTCAAAAGAGAGTTAAAGCCATTGAGCACAAGCTCTATCTCAAGCTTAAACACAATCATAAAGTTAACCAACCCTCAAAACAAATGGAAAAATGAAGAAGTGAGGAAGGTTGCAGAATTTCAGTGCTAAATGGCATGCTCAAGACACTAAATCATGCAATCAACATATGCACAACATGTTCAAAGGCCGAAAGCATCAAAACTAGTGAAGAGCATTACACTAAAAGCATGCAATATCAAACTCAAATGGTCAAACCAGCTCAAAATAGAGCTAAAGCATACTAAATCAGTGGCCTAAACATACTGAGATTGAGGAACAAAAAACTAGAAAAACGTGCACACATGTTAGCCCACAAACAAGGCACAATACACAACCCTCAAAAGCAATGAAAGAGTGAAATGTGTGAGAGTGTGAAAGAGGTATATGCACTGAAATCACATGTTAAATGATGCAATATCATGCAATCATCTCATGCCAAGCATGTTGGAGGCCTTGAAACACAAAACTAGTGAAGCCAATTACACTATGGCCATGCAAGGCAAGCCTCAAAGGACCGAGACCACTTAAAACAAAGTTAAAGAATGTCAAAACATTAGCAAAAATGTGCTGGAGTTAGGCTAACACAAGCTGGAATGATAGGCTAAATCATCAAATATGCTAGGTTAGTAAGCATGATTACACTACAAGTGCAAGAAGCAAGTAACAAGTGGCTTAACCAGTCAAAAACAGAGTTGAAGCATGTCAAAATAGAGCCTAAAATATGCTTGAACTAAGCTACAAAAATGTACAAATACATGCTCACAAATTAGGCCATCTACACATGCAAACAAGATACAAGGAGGGGAGGCCACCCCCTCCTATTTTGGACCTAAAAACCAAGTTTTTACCACTGAAATTCCCTTGGAATTCAGTGGTTAAAGGGCCAAAAAAAGGTTGTTTTGAAAGCTTTGAAACATGAGTTAACACTTAGCAAACAAGCCACAAAAGATGGTGGACCACCCCTAACTCCAAAACAAACTTCAAACCACTATTTTAACCATAAAAACAGAGTTTTTAGAAGTTAAAACTAGCTTAAAACTAGCATGCAAATGTGGCCAAACAAGCAACTAAAACAAAGCTTCAAAGAGGTAAGCTTAATACCCTTGAAGCACAGTAACAAACAGCACAATTTCTGAGCTCAAACCACTTTGAGAAGCTCAAACAAAGCCTCCAAGAACCTCAGCTCCAAGGTGAAGGTGTTTGGCTAAGGGTCTTAGTGCAAATGAATAGAGAAAACTCACTTTCAAGCACAAAATAGGAAGAAAGAGAATTCTAGAGAGAAAGGAAAATTTGCTCTAAATTTTTCTAACCCCTCAAATGGGGGAAAAGCCTTCCCTTATATAGGAATACAAGCCAAAGGCTTGCTTCCATCCCTCCATACACGTGTATGGAGGATGCATTCAGTGACCAACAGCTGGCACACAAAATATCTGAAAAAGGAGAAAATTGGCCGTCAGCCACTCTAGGTGGCCGACCGGCCACCTTCCCTAGCCGACCGGCCACCTTAGGTGGCCGACAAGGGGAAAAACTGGCCGACAAGGGCCAAAAGTGGCCGACAAGGCCTTTCCTCCCTCCAGGCAAGGGGCACCAAGGTCTGGCCCAAAAACAAAGCCAAAACATAGAGAGTTTAGAGGCTCAAAGACAAGGCGTTCTGCCGAGAACTTCGGGCATTCAAAACGAGCACAAGCATGCATAATCATCGAGTGCGCAAACGATGACGTCTTAGTCTTGAGGTCGGTCAAAAATGGGGTGCCTACAGGTGT